CTGTCAACCGTCCTGGCAGAAAAGGTCATTTCTTGCAAAAAAATAGATGGCTTAACAGTACAAGGCCTCAATGAAGCCAGTGGCATTAACCTGCCAGGAGCTTACTCGCATTCCAGCCAAGAGAGGCCAAATCCCGAGACCAGAAACAGCACGAAATTGGCCCCACCTCTTACCCATTGCAAATCATCTAATGCCTTATAGAGAAGATGTTGAAGTTGGACTGCTCATAGGAGCCAACTGTGCACGTGCCATCAAACCGACAGAGGTGATACCTGGAAGGCAAGATGATCCCTACGCAAAGAAGACTGCACTAGGATGGGGTGTCATCGGTGTCGTTAATCCAACCAAGATTGAAGAAGATGACAACCACTGTTCTTGTCACCGCATCGCGTCCCTAGAAGTTCGTCCCAGCAATGGAAAAAGAATGTGTCATTTCGCTCTCAAGACTCAGGCAAAGGAAGTATTCACACCTGCGCAATTGATCAAAACATTGGAGCGTAATTTCAATGAAACGTCAAGAGAAGAACAACCTGTATCGTTCCTGGATAGAAAATTCCTTAACGTCTTGGAGTCTAACATCCGACACCGAGACGATGGCCACTACGAAGTTCCCTTGCCACTGAAAGAAGAAGGGTTAAAGTTACCCAACAATCTCACACTGGCGTTAAGTCGCCTTGGAAGGCTCAAAAAAAGGCTGAAGAGAGACAGAAAGTATCGAGAACACTACGAAGCCTTCATGAAGGAGATGATTGATAAGGGACAGGCTGAGAGAGTTCCCGACGAGGAACTACACCTCTCTAACGGTCGCGTTTGGTACATACCGCATCACGGTGTCTACCACCCCCAGAAACCAGACAAGATCCGAGTCGTCTTCGACGCCAGTGCAGAGTACAAGGGAGAGTCGCTTAACAGACACCTTTTACAGGGTCCTGATCTGACCAACAGTCTTAACGGAGTCCTCTGCCGCTTTCGTAAAGAACCCATCGCTTTCACCTGTGACGTAGAAGGAATGTTTCATCAAGTGTACGTCAATCCCGACTATCGAAATCTCCTCAGATTTCTCTGGTGGAATGATGGAAATATAGACAGCAAACCGACCGAGTTCAGAATGACAGTTCATCTGTTTGGCGCTACGTCATCCCCAGGGTGTGCGAATTTCACACTGAAAAGAACTGCAGACGACTTTGAGGAGTTGTTTGGAAGCGAGCCAGCCAAATTTGTCAAAGATGATTTCTACGTGGATGACGGACTGAAATCAGTTTCAACAGCCATTCAAGCCTCAGCCCTTATAAGGAATACAAAGAGTTTGCTTGCCAAAGGAGGCTTCAACCTCCACAAGTTCATATCTAACAGCAAGGAAGTGATTGAAACCATTCCCAAAGAGCAACGAGCAAGCGGTATCAAGGAGCTAGATTTCAGCAGGGATATTCTCCCTATTGAAGGAGCCTTAGGAGTGCAGTGGTGTGTGCAGTCAGATGCCCTCCAATTCCGCGTGGTACTCAAGGACAAACCATTGACTAGAAGAGGGATTCTTGCCTCCATCAGTTCGATCTACGACCCTCTGGGCCTGGCAGCTCCCTTTCTGCTTAAAGGAAAACAGATCCTTCAAGATCTTTGTAAGACTCAAGCTGCTTGGGACGAGACGGTGCCTGATGACATTCGAGCAAAATGGGAAAAATGGAGAGGAGAGTTGCACGAATTAGCTGAGTTAAAGATCCGTCGTTGCTACAAACCAGACAACTTTGGTGAAGTCAAGTTAGTCGAGTTACACAGTTTCTCGGATGCGAGCATAAATGGCTATGGACAGTGTTCATATCTAAGGATGGTCAACAATCGTGATGAAGTGCATTGTTCGTTGGTAATGGCAAAATCGATAGTTACCCCGTTAAAGCCAGTCACCGTGCCCCGACTGGAGCTCACCGCTGCCGTGGTGTCCACGAAAATCAGCTCCTTCCTACTGAAAGAACTAAGCTATGAAGACATCCACGAGTTCTTCTGGACCGACAGTAAAGTTATCCTCGGCTACATTTCAAATGAAGCAAGGCGCTTTCATACATTTGTCGCTAACCGAGTGCAAGCAATGCGAGATCATGCATCCCCTGATCAGTGGCACTACGTTGATACCAAAGAGAACCCAGCCGACGACGCCTCACGAGGTCTTGGAGCTAAAGAACTGATAACAAGCAACAAATGGTGGAACGGACCGAACTTCCTGTGGAGACCACTGCCAGATAAGCCCCACTTTGATCCTCAAGTATCTCCAGATGACCCCGAGGTTAGGAAGGTTACAGTACTGGCAACTAAATCCATTGAACACCCAACCCTATTGGACCGCATTGAGTACTTCTCAGACTGGTACCGCGCGAAAAGAGCAATTGCTGTCTGCCTGTTGTTCATACACAGAATGAAACTTCACGTAAAGAAAGATCGAGACAACTCCGTCAGTGACAAAGGCAACCCACTGCACGAAGACAACAAACGAAAACGGCAAGATCAGTCCTCCAAGTTTGTTACGCCAAGGGTAAAGGATCTCCAGAGAGCCGAGCTGTTGCTGATCAAAGCTATACAGTACAAGGAGTTCCCAAGAGAAATCGAAGCCTTAGCGAACAAGTCACACAAAGGTGAAATAAACGCTAAGTCAGTAAAGAGGACAAGCCCTGTACATCGCCTCAAACCAGTCCTAGATGACAACGGTGTTCTAAGAGTTGGAGGACGACTTCCTCAAGCCGACCTATCATATGCTGTAAAGCATCCTGTCTTGCTTCCGAAGAAGGTGCACCTTACAAACCTGATAATCTGACACTTCCATCAACGTTCGGGACATCAAGGAAGACCAAGAACGCATGCCGAAATCCGCTCATCTGGCTTCTGGATCGTAAACGGCACTTCATTGGTTGGTCAACACATATCTAAATGTGTTACTTGTCGGAAGCTGAGAGCAGCGCCCCAGCAGCAGATGATGGCTGAACTTCCCACAGACAGACTCGAACAAGTCCCTCCATTCACCTTCAGCGCCGTCGATTATTTTGGTCCATTTTATATAAGAGAAGGGCATAAAGAGATGAAACGATACGGAGTGTTGTTCACCTGCATGGCCTCACGTGCCATCCATCTGGAGATAGCAACTTTGTTAACAACTGATTCATTCTTGAACGCCTACCGTCGCTTCGTTTGTCGTCGCGGACCCATTCAGCAACTAAGATCAGACCAGGGTACCAATTTCGTAGGCGCAAAGAATGAAATGCAAGCAGCCCTCAATGAGATGAATCATGAGAAGATCCAAAGAGAGCTATTAAAGGATAATTGCGATTGGTTCGCATGGAAGATGAATGTTCCACACGCTAGTCATATGGGTGGCGTGTGGGAAAGACAAATTAGGACAGTACGAAGCGTATTAACTGGACTACTGCAAAGCCATGGAAGTCAATTGGACGACGAATCCCTGAGGACCCTCATGATTGAAGCAGAGGCTATTGTCAACAGCCGTCCCCTTACCACAGATGATCTGTCAGATCCAGATTCACTTGATGTCCTAACACCAAATCATCTTCTAACGATGAAGAGCTCAGTTATCCTTGCACCGCCCGGAAATTTCCAAGGAGCCGATGTGTACTCAAGGAAACGTTGGCGTCGGGTACAACAACTTGCTAACGAATTCTGGCAGCGTTGGAGAAAGAGCTATCTGCAAACTCTTCAGACCAGACAGAAATGGACCACACCTCAGAAGAACCTCGAAGAAGGAGATATCGTGATCCTAAAAGATGAAAGTGTTCCCAGAAATTCCTGGAAGCTTGCCCGTGTAGAGGTTACTTACCCGGATGCAGACGGTTACGTACGAAAGGTAAAGGTGGCAGCAGCAGATCAATCCCAAAGGTCCAGGGTATCCCATTTTGAAAGACCAATCCACGGGTTGATTCTACTTATGTCACGCAAGGAGCAGAAGGACCGGGGATTCCCAGCCGAGGAGCCAGCCGAGGAGCCATGAAATCAGATGAGAATTGCTGATGAGCAGTGTCGTGTCGTTAGAGACAATGATTGAACATTGACTTTGGAACATTTTACCTGATTACTGATTGTTTTGTTGTTGTTCTTTTTATTGTTGATTAAGTAAATTGTCTCAATTTAGGGGAGCCATGTAACTGATTAACACGTAATAGGTAACCTGCATGATTGCGTAACTTCCGTTGTCAAGCTAAGCAATAAAAGGTACAAGAAAGATAGACACGTGCGATAGGATATAGACGTC